ACAATAAATTTTAGAAGTTGATAAAAAAGACATTTGTGCATTCAAAGCATGTTCCGGGATAATAATTTTAGTCATTAGAAATGAATTTTTTTTAAAAAAATGTATGCTGAATAAATACATATAAGACTTTATATTGTATAATATTAGTTGATATACATACGTCATCAGAAGTAATGTTAAAAAAATCGGCAATCAGAAATCAGATTTCTTTTTTTTTTTTGATCTGCAAATTTCACATTTTTTTGCAAACCGCAATAAATGATTTATGTGATAAATTGAATCGTACGATTGTATTTGATTGGTCAATCGCTTGTCTAAATTGCTTATGAATCGCTTATGAAACCGTTCATAATTCTTATGAATCATTATGCATTTGATTGGTCAATTGCTTTTGCTTAGCTATAAATTGCTTACGTCATGTATTTAGAAGATATAGATATATTTTTAAAATCGCAATGGCAATGTTTTTTTAAAAAATTGCATCCAAGATCGGTGTTTAAATTAAATATAATGTATCACGTAATAAAAATCAAATGCTTTAAATCTCATTTTTAAATCATAAAAATCGAATCGATTTCTGCCATCCTATCGGGTACGTGATGATTTTTAAACGAATGTGTAACCCGAATCTTAACTTTTAATGAATATATAAGTCCAATCTCCAAAATAAAAACCAAAATTTATTTCATAAATAAATATACAATGAATAAAGTTTGTCTTTAAAATTTATACATACTATGTACCGGTACTATACTACTACACATGCTATAATAAATCTTTTTTTTTGAATAATTTTGTATATTTTTTTAAAATTTAACATTTAACATAAAAATTTTAGGTTTTAAAATTTTTCTAAATTCAGTTCTCATCTCTTGACTTTCGATTTGATTAGACGTTAAGTCTACTCTTCGAAGAGATACGTTATTTAATAAAGCCTTAGCTATAACTTCTATTTCACTAATATTATTTCTACTCAAATCCAAATCAGTAAGTTTCTTGTTCACCTCTAAAGCTTCAAATAAAACCTTTACGTTTTCAGGATCATCCATAGTTCTACTTAAATATAAATGAGTAATTGTGTCATTGACTTTTAAAACGTTCGCTAAAGCTTCTATTTCTTCTAAATGGAAATCTCTGTAACTTATATTCAGTTTAGTGAGTGAATTATTTGTTTCTAAAGCTTTTATCAAGTTATTCATTGGAAGTGCATTGTAACTTAGATCTAGATCAGTGAGTATGTCATTTGTTTGTAAAGCCTTTTCTAAAGCATTTACTACACTATTACGAATATTACAGTTACTCAAATTTAGAGTTTTTAGTGTTCGATTTTTTTCTAAAGACTTTGCTAATGCTCGTCCTGTTTGTCCTGCTCCTGTAATGTTGCTCAGATCCAAATTTTTTAGTGTCGTATTTTCTTCTAAAGCTTCTATTAAAGCTTCCATCGCATCACTGCTAATTTCGTTACGACTCAAATTTAAATACCGGAGTTTAATTTTATTCGACTTTAATTCTTGTGATAAGTTTATTACCATTCCAGAACTGATTTTTGTTGATCTTAAACCTATACTGGTAATATCATTGTTTATTAAAATATTTATTAAAAGCTCTCCTAATTCACGAACAATATCATTATCATTTAAGTTCAATTCGGTAATTAATTTATTGCTTGTTAAAGCTCTCGCTAAGTCTTTTCCAGCTTCGAGACGGATATAATTAGAACTTAAATCCAACTTCTTAAGAGTTTTATTTCTCCTTATTGCTTCCGACAAATTATTTACTTTTAGAGGACGGGACATTTCATACTTGGACTTTGACCTGTATCTGCCCGTTAAAGTTGTTTTTGCTCCTTTTTCTAAAGACTCTATTGTCGAACTAATCTTATTTGAACTCAAATTTAAAGTTTTAATGGTTTTATTTTTTGCCAAGATTTCTGAAATTATACGTTCTGATTGGAAAGTAAGATTATTTGAACTTAGATTTAATCCTTTAAGCCTCTTTGAAGTTATTAAAAATTTCTTCAATTTGTCTATTACTTTAGGAGAAAGATTACAATTGCTCAAATCTAAATTCTCAAGTGTTTTGTTACTTTCTAAATGAACGAAGCTTACATCGGACCAATCAATAGGATTGTCGCTTAAGTTTAAGCTTATAAGAGTTGTGTTTTTTCCTAAAGCTTCCATCAATATTTTTCCTTTTTTAGTGAGTTTTTCACCGTTATTGCTTAAATTCAAATCAACAAGGCGGGTTTTATTAGCTTTTAAAATCCTCAATAAAAGAGCTAATGTATCCGACTCAATATTAGTCGAACTTAAATTTAAACGAGTGAGTGTGTCATTGTTTACTAAAATCTTCACGAGTGCCTTTCCCAATCTCGAACCAATATTATTATAACTTATGTCTAAGCTGCTAATAGTTTTATTTCCTTTTAAAGAATTTATCAATTCATTTCCTATTTCATTATCAAGTTTCTTGTAGCTCAAATCTAATTCATTATTTGAACTTAAATAATTAGCATAAACACTTTGACCTATTTCTCTCAAATTATTTGTTTCATCCTCATCGTCCAATAGAAGAACGCACCAATTAAGTTCAGGAATCTCTACAAAATCTTCGTCATCATCATCATCTACAGATTCTTTCCCATTTTTTCTGACACTAATATTGATGTTGATCGTTTTATCACGATAGTCTTTAACTTTTGCTGTAAAAGATTGTTGGTAATTTGACTTAGGGTATTTGAATGAGGTAATGAGAACTGCGTTTGATTGCAAATTTTCGGAAGTTTTTAATTGAATCTCACAACTATCTATTCCTGTATCATCAGTTGCTGGTTTTGGAACAAATTGAAGACTATTTACGCATAAAACGGGAATATTTCGCGTATTCGAATCAAAAATACCAACTTCAGCTGGTTTCCCTATTAATGTCCAAATTATTTGCAAATTATCATGTTTATCCTCTCTAAATAAAATTAAAATTAATTAAAAGATTAAAAAAATCATAATTACTCGATAGGAATAAAAATAAAAAAAAGGCAAACCGCAAATATGGTTAACACTTACGAAAAGGCTTCAACTATTGCTGAAAATCCAGACTTATCTTTGGATTTAAATTTAACATCAGCTTTATTAAATGGGGTTCCACTTTGTGTCAAGATTTTACCGAAAATCTGATAATTTTTTGATTCTAGAGGAAAATCAAATTCTACAGAATATTGATATCGTGAACTTTCAATTGGTATTACACCTGATCTGAGAACTTTTTCTTTAATTCCGGTATTGATCGCTTGTTCATCATTTCCGAGACATAATTTGACTTCTTGACATAAATCTGCATCTAATATTTCATACAAAGGATATAAACCTTCCCAACTGATAATACTCCATGAATCAGAACTCTTTTTTAAACAAGAAATTGCCCATTCTTTAATTTTATTTTTCCTAACCGCAATACCATTAATTGTAGTTAAAGGTGACGAGCCAATATTATTTGATTCTATGCATTTTTCCCATTGCTTCATAATATCATCGTAATCGGTACAATTTTGTGAAAAATCATCGGCCGCTTTAAATTCTTTATCGATTTTTAACTCTGTTAATTCTTGATTTGCGCTTGAATTTTTCGATATTGAATATAATTTATCTCCAAGTATAACTTTATTAGGTAAGAAATGTCCAAAAGAATCTAATACTTTCATTAATTCTCGATATGGATTTTTATGTTTTAGAGCCTTTTTAACGGCAACGATTAATTCTTTTGACGGTTCTATGGAACCTTTTTCAAAAGTGGCTTCAGCTTTTGGATATCTTATTTCTAAACAAATGGTATTCACTTGCGATATATTGGTTTGAGGATTCGCGTCAGATATCCAATCCAAATCAGTAGGCGATTCGATATGATTCTCCAATAAAAAGGAATCCTTATATTTTGATGAAAGTATTAATTTTGCCTGAAATTTTATAGTATCTAAAACGTTCATTTTCGGTTTTGACATAAAGGCACATGCTGAAGGACCTGCTATCTGCATTTTTTGCGTGCTGATAATCAAACCGTGATTTAATTTTTTAATTATCAAACTTGGTATATCTTGTAAATTTTGTGGTTTTGGTTTCTCCGGTGGTTTTACTTTCTCACTATCCGATGGTATTGGGTCATCATTTTCAGACTGTTCATCGTTATTGTTGTCGCTATCTGATAATATTGCCTCATCATTATCCGACAGCATTAGCTCATTATCTAATGGTGTTTTTATACCATTTGGTATGTTTGGATCATTTTCTGATGACTTTGTCACATTTTCATGATTTGATGATTTTATTGATTTGGTATAATCTTCATGTGATGGTTTTGTCCCGTCAGCAACTTTTATAACAGATGTTCCATTTACATTTGGCTGTTTGGATGGTTTAGTTTCATTTATTTGATTTGTTTTTATCGGTTCATTTATAGTCGACTGTTTTGATTGTTCAGTTCCATTTACTTCGTTTGTTTCTATTAAATTCGGTGTTTCATTTGGTTCCTCGATCGTTTCAGTTTTTAATGAATTTGAAAGTATTTCGGATGTTTCAATAACCTCATCAGGCTTTACTAAATCCGAAGTCTTACTTGGTGCTTCAATTGCTTCATCAGGTTCATCAGGTTTTATTAAATCCGAAGTCTTATTTGGCGCTTCAATCACCTCATCAGGTTTTATTAAATTTGAAGTTTTATTTGGTACTTCAATCGCTTCATCAGGTTTTATTAAATTTGAAGTTTTATTTGGTGCTTCATTCGCTTCATCAGGTTTTATTAAATTTGAAGTCTTATTTGGTGCTTCAATCACTTCATCAGGTTTTATTAAATTTGAAGTCTTATTTTGTGCTTCAATTGCTTCATCAGGTTTTATTAAATTCGAAGTCTTATTTGGTGCTTCAATCGCTTCATCAGGTTTTACTAAATTCGAAGTCTTAATTGGTTCATTTACGCTTGATATCAAATTGGATGGTTCAATCTTACTTGGCCTTTCTATTTGCCATGTCTCTGGGTTGATCATGAACGAATCAATCTCAGCTGGTGTTTCCGTAAAATATGGAGGATACAATTCACTCACAGGTTCCAAACTCGGTGTTAAAATTAATGATGCTGGTCTGGATTTTTTAGGTTCTTTTGGATAATAAGCATTAGGAGAAGGATAGAATCCTGGAGAATCCGGAATTGTATGTTTATCGGGTTTATAGGGCTTGAATTCACTTTCTTTGGGTTTCAACGGAATTTGATGCCGCCTGTGATAGGTAATTGGCTTAACCGGAATTGAAGCAGCCCTAGTGCGTGTATGTGAAAGTTGATCGAGTTGATCAGACGAATGAGCAGAACCCGAATTATTTCTTTTAGGTTTAGCAAGGTCAGCTTCAACATCTAAAAATCTCAATAGAATTTCGTCCATTTTAATCCTTTTTTCTGGTTTATTATTCCATCCTTTGTTTCGTAAAGGATTTTATAAATATTAGTACATAGTTCATGAACAGAAAATCATTTATAAAAGTAATAATTGATAACAATACCTTCTACAATGATTCTTAAGTATTTTCTTTGAATGTTAAGAAATTCCAATACATAAAAACGTGGATCAGGGGCTGATTCTCTACGACCATTTGTAACATGAGCAACAATTTCTTCTTTACTCATTTTTTCATAGGGAAACTTTTGGAAAGCTAGTTCCCATAGGAGCATTACGAAACTATACAAATAACAGCGTATACAATTATTAATCATTGACATAACTGGAGTTGTTACAATAAGTTCTTTAGAATAGATACCTGAACACTTCACATTCTTTTGTATATAAGGCATTCCTTTGCATCATTTCAGGTGCAGCCCAATTGATAATACTCAATATATGATCTGAGATATGATCGTTATCTGGTCCTATTTCTGATGCATGCTTGGCAAGATAAAAATTTGCAATTTTAGGTTCCATATAATAGTTCATCTACGATAAAATGGATAAATGATAGTTATGATTAGAATTGAACAGAATTCACCAGAATTTTGAAGCAAGTTTGAACCTATATTTACCATTATGTTTTCACATCGAACATCGCGGTGAAAAATGTCATTATGGCCCAAAAATAGTAAACCTTGACAAATATTATATGCAATTTTCACTTTTAAATCCCAAGGAATTTCCTTATCTTCATAGACATCCTTCAAACTACCCAAGCTTGCCCATTCAAATACCAACATTTCATCATCGTCAACCTTTGAAAGTCCATAAAATTTAAGGATATTTCTGCTTTCATCAAGTCTCTTTAATTCACTCAAAATTGACCTGTTTTGTTCGAAAACAGTAATGGGTTCACATGCCACTTCCACAATACGTTTAAAGGTCCTCTTTACAATTTTCGGTTGTACACAATCATCTAGATCCCATTCTGACTTTCTAGCTGATTCATTTTCAAATAATAATGCGGAATCGATACGTGGAATACTGGTTTCTAAAACTGATTTTTCGAATAAATTTTGAAATATTGTTTCAATTCTGATTATGTGTTCGTTTTTATTGTCATTAGGAATAGTTTTTAAAATCTATAAATAAAAAAAAAATGGTAAATTTGTTTTAGAAATAAAGTAGAAATTGGGAAACTTCTATTTTAATTTGACACGAATACAAATATACAGTACCTTATGAATGTTTTTAAAATCGTCTTGTTGGCTTTCTTGTTTGTTCATTATAACTTTAATCAGAATTGGATTTAATTTTTTTTTACAACTCTCATGCTCCTTTAACAATTTTTCATATTTCCCTTTTACATGCTTATACGGATAAAAGAGATAACGTTTTTTTTCTATATTCGCTACTTCTTCCGCAAACTCTTTTATGGTTTCTAACGAAATTTTATATTTATTAAAAGCATCTTCATATTGTTGAAAATATAATTCGGCTTCATTCTTTACATAAAGTAAGGCTCGAACAGTCTCTGATGTAGAATGAATAATTGGCTCAAAGATCTTTTTGCTTTTCTTAAGATTTATAACGATATTTTTTATCTCCTCAATTAATTTGTAACTTGCGTCAACGCAAGTTACGTGAGACGTACTTTCGGGAAGTACAAATTGTTCGTCAATTAACTTGTAGCTTGGAACAACTAGGTCTTTAAATTCAGTATCCTTTTCTATTTCTAATCTTTTAGTGGTTACGTTTGATAATTTTTCAAATTGAGTCCTAGTTTGTACAAGAAAATCAGCGCTATTACAAAATTGCCCAATTGTAATTTCTTGAATTGGTGTAAGATAAATACACCAATATATTTGACATTTCAATTTCTCTTCCAATGTCATTTTTATATCATTACCGTTAACATAATTATCATCGTTACCATTATAATCATAGGTATTGTCACCATTGGCACCATATTTATCATGGTTATTTGAAATGTTACGCGTGTGATTAGTTATATTCACTATTAAAGTGCCGTTTTCATCATTATAAGATTTGATAGAAGCCAGAAATGATGGTTCATTGTTCGACAATGGATATTTGAATGTGCAAGCAAATACAGCATTTAACGGAAGTATTGGAATTGTATCAAAGCCAATTTCCCAATTTTGTTTATTATTAGGTTCAATCGTTTTCTTTCCAGTTCCTACAACAATTAAATTTCGATCATTTGAACTTTCATCATGAAGATTTTCAAATTCTTGCAAATGTTCAATAATTTCTGGATTTCCAACTAGCATCCAGTTTATGTTCATTTTTGTAAAATTTTTCACGCTATAATAGTAAATTGTTAGGAAAATGTGTAATTTAAGAGTAGATTATAAACATATTAAAAGTTCTTACTTTTTATCTAAAATGTTTTCGATAATAACGGAGAATCCAAAGATATTTATATCTTTAAATTTAATAATCTTTTCATGAATTTGTTGTCTAGATGTTGTTGTTAAGCTACCATAAAGCTGATAGTTGTCGCTCTTTAATTTATTCTTAAATTTAACACGATAATACATCACTGATGCATTAATTTGTACGCTATCAATCATGAGTATCTTAAAATCCGACTTCTTAACCTTTTCAAACTCCTCAGATAATTGCAAAGTTTTTAATAAAGAATTATTGTGATCATGATTTTTAAGAATCATTTTGATTTTTTTGCTACGAATTGGTTCTTCGAAAATTTCGTAAATTGAAATTAAATCTCTCTGTATTCAACGACTTCTATTCAGAATCATCTTGATAATGTTGTACTTGAAACGATCACTGATTGAACTTACCATTCTGGGCATAAATGCTACACTGCAGACTCCAGCCAAGATCAATTTTTGTCCCAATTGATTTACCATATTTATTCCGTGATTCTGTAATCGACCATTTTTGATATCAGATAGTCCTAATCTTCTAACTTTGGATTCAAATAAATCTATCCGTTTGAACAAACAAATTTCGGATTCATTTGAACCCAACTTTGGTTCATTTAAATTCAACTCGATTTCCTTCAAATTCATTTGAATCAAACCCGAGTTCATTTGAGCCACTTCGGATTCATTTGAATCCGACCCGAGTTCATTTGAGCCCATTTCGAATCAAACCCGGTTCATTTGAATCCAACCCTGATTCATTTGAACCTAACATCACAAGGGTTGTCAAAGTACGTACGTACTTACCAAGTACTGTACTTAATAAGTGTTTAAATTACGTATATATACGTACTTATTAAATATAAGGTTGTTGAGATGCAATTACAAATATATACTTACTTTTAATGTTTAAGCTTCTCAGATTATGTAAAATTAATCTATATTTCTATTTTTGTATTTGTTTAAATATAAATAAAATTTGCACTTTATTAGTTTCTTTAAAAAGTTTATATATGTACATATATTAACTTTAATAATTTTAAAAAAAATTTAATACGTATTAAATTTACAGTGAATTCCGAAATAGTGAGCATCTGCACGTTATGACTACCTGCGCGTTTTTAGAGTACGCCCACGGGCGTTATCTCGTGATAAAGTATTAATTCCTGATACGTACGTATATTTGGCGGATCTCTAAGCAGTAAATCAGATGTATATCAGGAGTTCTGTATCCCGATATTTATCGATACTTATTAATTCGAGGCGCGCTATTTCGGGATGCGTATGGGCGTTATTTCGAAACTAGGCTATTTTTTAAGGGATGGATTTTCGAAATAACGCCCATGCCCGCTATTTTGAGATTTTATGTTAAATTTAAGGAACTTTTATTTCCACACCCAATTTTGGTGTTTCTATGCCCTTTGATCAGGTGTATATGTTGTGCCTCAGATTAATGCTTGCGTCAGATGTCAGCTTTTTGGCCCGCATTAACTGATCGATATTGATTGACTTAAATTAAGCCCAAATCCTTCCCAGATTCTTACCCTAACCCTAATCTAACTTAGGCCGGTTTTAATCTGACGCAAGAATTGATCTGAGGCACGACATATATAATATTACATAAAGTGTATTGTAATTACGTATATCAAAAGTGAAGTGTCATATTACCTTACTCAATTTTTGAGTTGGAGTATTGGGATCGTACATTGTGATATTATCATATTTTCATAATAATAATTTATAATTCACAAGGATGCGAAATACCAAATCAGGTATGTTTTTTTATTTAAGTTTATTTTACTTTCTTCTATATAAATAACTATATAGTTATTATTATTATATTTTTTGTTATAATAAGTATAATATAACAATTTCCTAAATTTATTTTTAAATCTATTTGAATTTAATTTAAATTTAATTAATTTTATTTTTTTGTTAAAATTCTCTTGGAACCATAGCTCTATTAATGTTTTAATACAGTCCGACCCCTAAATGCAGCGTTCCCTGAATGCATGATATAAGCCCGGGCCATGGTGAGACTTATAGATAATGCACGTTCTTTATTCTGTAAGTGCACGCTAATTGTCTGGCCCATTTAAAAACTCCCACCATAAATTAATCCACGTGATTACCAGCCAATCAAATTCATTATTTATAGGTTACTAAAGGCAAAAGTTGCATTTTTAGATCATACCCTAAATTGAGGTGGCGTTCTTGATGCACCATATTCTTATAAAATTTGATTTTTTTAAATTTCAGCGAAGATATCTCGATGACCACTAAAATAAATTCAATAAATTATTTTAGAAACAAAATAAAAAAATTCATCGAATTTGGATGGGTGGTTGTTGAGATACCTTCGTTTAAATTAGTCAATAAATTAAACCATCTATTAAATTTTAAGTCATAATTTTGGTTCTACATATTTGAATAATCAAAAATAAAAAGATTATAGAATTTGGTTTGATGGTTGCTGAAATATCTTCGTTTAATTTTATCAATAAATCAACCATCTATTAAAAATTCAAGTCGTAAAAATATTAATTTATGTTGTGATCTACACTCATTTTATTGGCAACCCCCTAGCATCACTAACTTAAAAATTTTGCAAGTCATGTGCTGGCTAATTAAATTTTTTTCTTAATGGGTTGGATTTACCTGTACTACTAGTAGTATAATGTACTACCAAGTGACACTTTTTAATCTCAATTATCTACTAATTTTACAAACTAACTACTTTATTAAATATTATTTTAGAGTAGCTTGAATCTGGGGCTTTCTATATTAAAACTTTGAAAATTTTAAGAATTTTTTACAATTTTATATAATTTTTTTTTTGACTTAAAAATTTCAGTTAATTACTAGTTACTTTATAAAATATTATTGACTATAAAATTTTTTTTTATTAAGTAAATTTATTTAAATTTTTAACAAAAGTTATAAAGATAAGTTTGCTAATTTCAATAAAAAAAAGTCTAGTAAATTTCAATTAAATTTAATTTAGATTTATATATAAAAATTAAATGTATTTTTTTAAAAATTTAAACCAATATAATTTAAAATACAATATATTTATATAGTTTAAAATTTTCATATACAATTTAACAAGTTAGTTTTTAACAACTTTTGTTAAAAAATTAAAAAAAATTATATAATAAAAAATTTTTTAAACTTTAGTTAAACATATATACATTACTATATATAGTAATAATTTACAAGATTTATTATACAATAAGTATATTACAAAATAATTTTTATTGAAATATAATTAATAATAAATTTTTTTTTAAATAGTAAGGTTTTAATATTTTTATATAATTAAGCTTTCTGTTTGTATAATTTACTAATAATTTTGTTATTAAAGTTATATACAAAAGTATACTACATGTAGTATATTTAAATTTTTTAAAAATTACAATTTAAAAAAAATTTTTTTTGCAAAAATTTTATTATTAATATTAAAAAAAAATTTTTTAGATAATACTAAAGTAATTATTAGATTTTTGTAGATAAAAATTTTTTTGAAAAAAATTTTTTAGATTTTATACACTCTTTAACAAATGTACTACTGGTAGTACAAAAGCCTAAATTCAACCCATTAACAATACGATATGTTAATATATATATTTTTTTTTAAAAAAAAAGAAAATTATAAACCATTTAAGGCCATACAAACTTATAGTTTCGGTTTTCATATCCCGGCCGGGTCAACAAAATAGAATTTCAAAATTTTTTTTTTTAATATATCAGCCAATAGAAATCCTCCGTATAATAATGTGATCAAAGCAATTTAGAAGGTAAGACCGTTGATATTATTACGACTGATTTTTCACACGGAGTGCAACGTATAAAAAAATAATTTTATAATACCGGATCCTGAAAACTGCACCTGCATAATTTTTATTTTTTAATCAAAAATATCCAACGAAAATTTGACCACATTAATCGATGACTTCAACAAACTGAATTTCCCTGATTGTCAAAAATTGGCGGATTCGGACGATCTAGACGGAATTTTCTGGCTCGGTTATTGTTACGAATATGGAATTGAAGTTGAAAAGGATGAAAACAAAGCATTCACGCATTATCAAAAATCTGCAGACATGAATAATTTAACGGAATATATCAAATTAGTTATTGTTATAATTTAGGAATTGGCGTCAAATCGATAAGCATAAAGCGTTTACATACTATCTGAAATCTGCTGAGGCTGGTAATTTTATGAGAACTTGGAAAACTGCCGTTTGTTACCTTTATGGAATTGGCGTTGAGAAGGATGAAGATAAATTTTGGGAATGGTATAAAAAGCAAGTTAATTTTTGATTTTTTTTATTATAATATTTTGTAATTTCTTTATTTGAAATTGAGATCTCTTACACAATTTTTATTTATTAGGGAGTAAGTATAAAGTGCATTCATTCATCAATCTAAATCGGCGATTTAAGTTCATAAATATTTATTTATTGTTGGTTATTTTAGCCCGTGAGTATAAAGAATTTAATA